GCAGAACGTGGAAAACTATTGGAAGCAGATGTGTTAGTGACAGCTGCCTGGGCAGCAAGGAAGAGGAAGCCTTGAGAGTCCAAATGAGAAAGCGGAAAGGCATGGTGAAAATGAATATTTACAGTGCACTGTACTCGTCTCATATGCATACCTTCATGTCACTTAATCCCTACAATATCCCTGCTAACTAATTATTATGAACTCCATTTTACAGATAAGAAGACTGAGTCCTTTGGGAGGCCAAGGTGGGTGGATCACGAGGTCAAGAGATCGAGATCATCCTGGTCAACATGGTGAAACCCCATCTCTACTAAAAATACAAAAAATTAGCTGGGCATGGTGGCGTGTGCCTGTAATCCCAGCTACTCAGGAGGTTGAGGCAGGAGAATTGCCTGAACCCAGGAGGCGGAGGTTGTGGTGAGCCAAGATTGTGCCATTGCACTCCAGCCTGGGTAACAAGAGCGAAACTCCGTCTCAAAAAAAAAAAAAAAAAAGAAGAAGAAGACTGAGTCACAGAGAGATTGTCCAAAGTCATACCGCTAATAAATAGCAGAACTGCCAGGCGCAGTGGCTCACGCCTGTAATCCCAGCACTTTGGGAGGCCGAGGAGGGTGGATCACGAGGTCAGGAGATCGAGACCATTCTGGCTAACACAGTGAAATCTTGTCTCTACTAAAAATACAAAATATCAGCAGGGCGTGGTGTCACGCACCTGTAGTCCCAGCTACTCAGGAGGCTGAGGCAGGAGAATTGCTTGAACCCGGAAGGCGGAGGTTGCAGTGAGCTTAGATTGCGCCACTGCACTCCGGCCTGGGCGACAGAGCAAGACTCTGTCTCAAAAAAATAAAATAAAATAAACAAATAGAACCAGAAATTGCCTGATGCCAGAGACCCCGATGCTACCCTGACTCAAGGAAGAACATGTCATGGGATAGGTCGCAGGGTGAAGTGAGATAGGGATGAGCTCAGGGGAAGGCCTTGAATGCCAGGAGCAAGAGCCTAGCCTTTACCAACATAGATTCCAAGAAAACTGCTAGCAGAAAAGGGTGCTGGTGGACATGCAATGTTAAGGAAAGGGGCTGGGGTCATAATCTCACCCAGCCACCACAGCAGCTGTCACCAACAAGCCCACCTCTCAGAGAGCCCGGCTTACAGACCCCTTTGTCAGATGGATTCTCCTGAGAGGTAGGCACTGCTTCTTTCTCCATGGCACCAGGCACATTTGGATTCAGAGAGGGATGTGAATTCCATGTGGGCAGGCTCCAGTTGTGACCTTGCCAGCTGCTGCTTCCTGTTCTCTCCTGACACAGGATGGGGGACAGCCCCCCCTCCTTCTTGCAGACTGAATGATTATTGAGCACACACCAGCTGCTCAGTGAGCCCAGCCTCCCCTGCTTGGTGACTTGGATTGCAGCCTGGCCAGTTCGGAGCTCAGACTGGGCCCTTCTCAGCAGGCAGAGGGCTGAGCCTGTGACACAGGGGTCCAGAGAGGGCCGAAGTCTGGCAGGAGAAGGGGAGCAGTGAGAGCCAGGAAAGAATCACTTGGGGTTTCAGCAAAGTAGAAGGATGATTTTTCCAGCTGGGCCAGATCATGATGAGGCCCTACAGGATGGCTGAGCCACAGGAGTGAAGAAGCCTGGGCTTCCTCCTCTGAAGGACCGTGTAGAAGACAGCTGACCTCCACCTTCAATACTTACCCTGGGACTAGTGTGAATGTGCACAAGAAGTGTGTTTCTGCAGCAGGGAGCTGTGACCTGCGTGGGCCTGTTTGTTACAGCAGAATGCCTCCCGTAGTACACAGTCTGTGTCCTCATGGGGTCGTGCACATAGCACCCAACTCCTAACTCGAAAAATAAGCCACCCGTTCACTCTGTGATCTTGCACAGTTGCTTTGCTGAGACTCAATTTTCCCATCTGTGAGAAAAGAGGATCAGTTAGGTGATTTCCAAAAGTCCCTTCTGTTCTGTGATCCTGTTTTCTAAAAGGTGACCGCAGTCTTTGAGAATAAAAACCCAGACAGATATTAGGCAAAATGTCGGGCGGCTTCCTGACGGATAAGATGGCAAAGCAGAACCTGGCAGGCTGCAGGCGGAGATGGGTCACAGAAGGACGAGTAATGACGCTTAAGGAGCGCTGATTAGTACAGACCAATAACAGCTCGGCAAGGAGGTTTCTAGTGATGTGCCACAGGACTGTTTTATTTTACTATTTCATAAGATAGGGTCTCATTCTGTCATCCAGGCTGTAGTGTAGTGGCACAATCATGGCTCACTGCCGCCTCAGCCTGGGTTCAAATGATCCTCCCTCCTCAGCCTCCCGAGTAGCTGAGACGACAGGTGCAGGCCAACATGCCTGGCCAATTTCTACTGATATTTTTGTAGAGACGGCATCTCACTGTGTTGCCCAGGCTGGTCGCAAACTCCTAGGCTCAAGCATTCCTCCCACTTTGGCCTCCCAAAGTGCTGAGATTACAGGTGTGAACCACCGTGCCCGGCCCCACGGGGCTCTTTTAAAGTCAACAACTTGAACAAACACACAGAAAAGAAGCCAAAATCAACATAAAACACAAAGCTGAGAGGGCTGGTGCACAGGTGGGTGAGAAACCACGGTTCAGAATGGTCTTCACAAAGCAAGAGATTGGGACAAAGGTGACGAAGGGAAGCAGAACCAAGATGAACGCGAGTCCTGCAGAACTCAAGGGCTGGGGGAGCCTGTTTTGGCAGCAGGTCTTAGCAGCAGGCTGTGCAAATACCACCTGGGCATCTGGGTTGCCCACAACAGATATGGTTCTCATGAAGTTAGGACGGAGCCACGGCCACTGAAGCCCACAGCATCTGAGGCTGCACTGAGCAGTCACACATGGGGTCCAAGGAAGGGAAGGAAGGTGTCCATCCTGAATGGTCATCCCTGAGGTCCCCTGTGCCTCAGAGGGGAACACTGATGCTTTAGAATGAAAGTCATAAATGTCCTGTAAAGGGCCATGTTGTAAATGTTTTCAGCTTTGGGCCGTATACGTTCTGTTGTAACTGCTCCCCTTGGCCTTTATAGCTCAAAAGCAGCCACAGACAACAGTAAACAAATGCATGTGGCTGTGTTCCAATAACGCTTTGCAAAAATGGTGGTGGGCCAGATTTGGCCCTTGGGCTGTAGTTTTTTCTCCTTACTTTTGAAAAAAGGGCAGATATCAATGACGAGGGTGACAAGGGTTCTGGAGGTGGAGGCCGGAGTGGATGGGTAAAAGAACCAGGTGTGTGGCTCAGTGGGGAGAGGTGAGCATGCCCTCTCAGTGGTCCACAAGAGAAAGCCATGTGGGAAGGGTGCTTATTTTCACTCATGCCAGGGAAGACCCCATAAAACAACAAAGGAGTGATTCTGCATTATCTGAGGCTGGGGATGGGGGAACTGGGCTGGGTGATCTTCCACACCTTGGCCTCTGCCTGCTGGAATGGCCCTGTTTTCCCACCCTTCCCTGTCCCAGCACTGGGCTAGGACATTCTGCCTACATAGTGAGGCATGAATAATACCCTGGAGGCACAGCCACAGTCCCTTTGATCATGAGGCTCCAGGAATCAAGGAGACATTTGTAGGGCTAGCTTGGTGAGAGACTTCAGTGAGCCCTGCGGGGCTGGGGAGGCCTCTGGCTGCAGATAACCCTCCCTGCCATATGGGTGATGGAAAGCTGGCTCCTCAGGTGGGAGGCCTGGCCCAGGACTGGAATCTCAGAGCCCGGTTTGTGCCTTGGGCTTCTTCCCTGGTCCAAATGGTGGCAGGCGGTTGGATAAGTTCATTTCTCTGGTCCTTCCCAGCATAGGCATCCTGGGGCCAGCGAGCAGCCACCAATGACTACAGATGAAACACAAGCCTCCCAAGTCACTTTTTGCTGGCTGTTGGGAGTCTGGTGAGTAGGAGAGGAACCTCCAGGTTTCCTGGGGCACCATTCTGGATCCCCTCACCTCAGCTCTGTGAGGTCATGGCTAAGCCTGAAACAGGTCCCAACTCATTCAATATTGCCATAAATCTATGAAATAGGTGTGAGCCACGAGGGTTTGGTTGCAAGTAACAGAAACCCAATTCAACTGCCATATGGAAGCATAGAAGCAACTGACTCTTTGCTAGAGGCTTATGGCATGACTCCAAGTAATGAGGTAGTGGCTGTTCAGGTCAACAGATTCGCAACTCCGACTGGCTTAAACAACAAAAAACTGCATCTGTGATCGCAGTAACAGCATTCAGTAACATTCTGTTATCAACAGGGAGGAGGATGCCACCTCCTGATTGGACCAGGGGGAAGCCCCAGTCCCAGGGCAGCCAATCAGCAGCCTGGCAAGCAGCCAATGGGATAGCCTGGAGGGAGAGTTCTGCCCAATCACAATACCAATAATTAAGAGGTCCAGGCCCTCTGCCCTAGCTCAATTGACAATATGGGGTGTAGACAGAAGGAACAGAGAGTGGGGAGGCCCAACGGGGTCCCCAGAGTATGGACCACCTGTGTCTCTTTTCTGCCTCCCACCCCCACCTGCATTTCACTGGGGGCCCCTGAGTTTCTCAGACAAGGGAGACCATCCAAATACCCTAGTGGCTGAGGGTGCAGTCATTGGAGTCCCATCATACTCCCGAGTCCACCATCTACTGTGAGTCAGGCAAGTCACCCAACCTCTCTGAGCCTCCATTTCTTCATCAGGGAAATGGGAGTAATCATAGTGCTTTCTACATAAGGTGGGGGAATTCAATGAGTTCCTATGTGTGAAGCACTTGGACCTGTGCCTGGTACACACAGCACATGTGGATTAGCCACCTCCTGCAAGCAGGGGCCCAGGGAAGGGAGCCACAAAAGAGAGACATAGAGAGAACAGGAGGCAGAGAGAAACATGATAAGGAGAAGGAGGGGAGAAGGGCGTGAATAGATCGGAGAGGGAATGGGGCTCCCTGGGGTGCTGGCCTTGACCTCTCAAGGCTTGGCTCAGCCCTGACTTGTTCTTTCCTCCTCCATATAATCTCTCTCTGGAATGCTGAGAAATTCTGCTTCCACCCCCCAGCAGTTGCCATGGTGATGAAAACCTGGACCCAGTGGAAAGTTCTCTGTGCTCTTGGCAACGAGGCTGCAGCACCCTGCCTCCCCCTGCCTGCCTGTGCGTGGGCGGCCAGCTCCGGCTGCTGCCAGGATTTGGGGCCAGCACGGCCTCTCTGCAAGACCCAGCCCTGCCCCCAAAGAATCTAGGATGGGAGCTTTGATATGTCCTGTACCCAGGGCCCTCAGAGATTATCTAGCCTGTCCCATTTTATGGATGAGACATTGGGCCAGAGAGGACCGGTGGCTTGTCCAAAGCCACATGGACCCCCCCCTGGGGTCTCCCTCCTGGGCTCAGCTGTGAGTCAGGTGGGCACAGAGCACCTGGGGACATCGCAGACAGGGGAATAGCCACATGGCAGGCCAGTCCCAGAAAGCAGGCCAGCTGCTGGAACCAGGGGGGTGCAGAAGACAAGGGACTCCAGGAGGCTGGACACTGCCTTCCTCTTCTCTCCCAGACACAGTGGTGGGTCTGTGCGAAGGACTCAATGCTTGTGTCCCTCCAAAATTCACATGCAGGAGCCCCAATCCCCAGTGTGTTGGTATTGGGAGGTGGGGCCTTTGGGAGGTGATTAGGTCATGAGGGAGGAGCTCTCACACTGGAATTAGTGCCCTTGTGAGAAGAGACAGGAGAGAGATGATCCCTTCACCACGTGAGGGTGCCTGCGGACCAGGGAGAGGGCTCTCTGCAGCCCAACCATGCTGGTACTCTGATCTTGCAGATTTCAGAGCTGTGATAAATCCATATTTATTGTTGAAGTTGCCCTGTCCTCAGTAATAGCATTCTGAGCTAACAGTGCATTTGCAGAGGTGCTGAGTTTGCTCCACTCTTGGCAGCCCCAGCTCTCAGACTAAGTGGAAGGGCACAAGCCAGTCTTTAGCAGCCCCCTTGCCGGGGTCCTGAGGCCCTCTCTTTTACTCCCTCCTCTCTTTCCTCCTCTTCAGCAGGCTGAATTTTGGTCCTGAAGTTTGCTTCCAGCAGAGGCCAACTGCCTCCCTTCAATGCTGGTAGGTCCTTAACCAGCTCCCTCCTGCCTTCCATCCACCCAATGCCTTCTGTGTTATTTTTCTTTTATGTACCCCATGTGCTATGCTCTGAATGTTTCATGTCACCCCAAAGTTTATATGTTGAAATAGAATCCCCATTGAGATGTTGCTAGGAGGTGGGAGCCTTGGGAGGTGATTAGGTCAGAACCCTCATGAATGGGATTAGTACCTTAGAAAAGAGACCCCAGAGAACTCCCTTACTCCTTCCAGCATGTGAGGATACAGCAAGAAGACAGTTGTCTGTGAACCAGGAAACAGGCCCTCCTCAGACACCAGAGCTGTAGCACCTTGGATTTTCCAGCCTCCAGAATTTCTGTTGTTTATAGACCACTCAGTTTACAATATTTTACTACAGCAATCTGGATAGACTAAGATACCATGTTTTCGAAACCTCTCTTTCTCTGTCTCTTCTTGAGTGAGGGTCTCACTCTGCTGCTCAGGCTGGAGTGTAGTGGCCCGATCATGGCTCACTGCAGCCACAACCTGCACACAAGGGATCTTCCAGTCTCAGCCTCCCAAGTAGCTGGGATCACAGGTGCACACCACCACAACTGGCTAATTTTTGCATATTTTTGTAGAGATGGGGCTTTGCCATGTTGCCCAGGCTTGTCTTGAACTCTTGGGTTCAAGTGATCCACCTGCCTTGGCCTCCCAGAGTGCTTGGATTATAGGTGTGAGTCACCACCCCTGGCTGTCTCTTAAGCAAACAGGTTTATTAAGTAACAACACACACAGTGGCCCATTTTTGATCATCAAAGGCCCATAGAATCCAGGCTTTGTCTGCCCCAGAGACACGGGACTCTTCAGGTCCTTATATGGTCATGTGATGGATATGTGGGACAGTTCCATAAGCTGAACACTGTCACTAGTGCAGGGCCTACTGTCCACATCCCTCAGAACCCTGCAGGTGAAGATTCCCAAGACGACAGCAGTGGAATTTCCTGCAGGTCCCACAGGCCCACATTGGGATGAGATGTGGGTCATCTCAGGAGCTCTGGCCATGGACCAGACTGAAGCCAGGATAGGCCATATGATGCCTACCACAAACTTCCCATGAGACTCAACTGTTCAGACATTTTGGGAGTGTGAAAGGTCCTTGTGGTTCTTGCCAAGAATCCAGTTCTTGGAAAGAAGGTGCCTCCTATCCTGTTTCTGATGATAAAACTTGGACAATGAAACTACTCACTGGGTGCCAAGGGCTTTCCCTGGTGCCATCTCAGTGGCTCCAGGAGCTATGTCCCCCAAAATAGAGACTAAACTCATGGGTTCTAATTTTCCATGGAATACTGAAGTTGAGACATTTCCCTAGAGGTGTCTTCATTACACAGGAGCATGAATTTGACCTGGAGATGGGAAATGATGGCACAGGCAGGGGATAGCTACAATGTCCAGAGCCAAGTTCCATCTCTGTAATCAGAGAAGAAGAATCACATCACTCCCTGAGCCTCAGTCTCCAAATCTGTAAAATGGAGCTGAGATTATCAGCCACTATAATTCCTCTACCAGGTCATATATTCCTTTGGGGAAGGACTGTGATCTTGTTCTCGTCTGTGTTTCTAACACAGAGGCTGCCAAAGGAGTCCTGGCCGAATCAAAGGGTAGGCACAAATTGTGAGAGCATTCCTTTCCCCAGACCATCCACCACACATTCATTTCATTCATGAAATCATTTTTCTGCTTAACCAAAATTTTATGTCATTATCTATATGCTGGGGACACAACAGTGAGGGAAATAGACTGGAAGCTTACAATTGATTGATGGGACCCAACAGCTGGTCACTGCACACTGGAATGTGAGATATATAGGATGCTGCCTGGACACAAAGGAGACCTACCTCAGTTCTGCAGAGCCCAAGAAGACTTTCCCGAGAAGCTGACAACTCAGCTAAGATCTCAAAGATAAGAAGGTTTAATGTAAGCCAGAAAAGCAGGTTTAGAGTTCCAAGCAGTGGACAAATAAAAGTGTAACATGGAAAAGGAGGGAGAGGAGCCTCTTGGACCACACAATCCCCCCTCTCCTGCCAACTACTTCCCAAAGAAACCACCTCATTCATTCACCCTGAGCAGTGGCTACTGAAGTTCAGGACCATGGAGAGCACCACAATGATCTTCCAGCCACCATTTTGCTCTTGCTAATCCTGAAAGGCCCTGCTCGGATTAAGGCCTAAGGAGACAAATGACAGGGTTCTGGGGGTGCGGAAACCACCAGGCTTGGAGCCAAGGAGGGAGAGTCCGGGGACCAGATGAGTTTGGGGAATCAACTGTCAGCTCTCTATCCAGATGAACTCTGTAGTCACAGAGCCAAGGGGAGCCTGGTGAGTCACACTTAGGCCTGGGAGCCCAGGAACCCTGCTGCGCACAAAGAAAACAGTGGGATGATGGAGACAAGTGGTTCTCTATTGTCTCTGTTACCCAGGCTGGAGTGCAGTGCTGTGAACATGGTTCACTGCAGCTTCGACCTCCCAGGCTACAGTGATCCCTCTGCCTCAGCCTCTCAAGTATCTGGGACTATAGCCATGCACTACCACACCTGGCTAGTTTTTGTATCTTTTGTAGAGACAGGGTTTTGCCATGTTGGTCAGACTGGTCTGGAACTCCTGGGCTCAAGCGATCTGCCCACCTCGGCCTCCCAAAGTGCTGGGATCCAGCAGCCCAGAGAACAGGCCCAGGGCATGAGCCGCTGCAGTGGGATCTGTGGTAGGGCTCCTTGTCTCTCATCCCTCACCAAAAAGAGTCCTGATCCCACCCTGCCCAGAGTACAGCTGGGGCCTCCAGACAGACCCCAATCCAGCCAGATGAAGGCTGCTGTCAAAGAAGGGAAAGGACAGGTTGGGGGAAAAGCAGAAAGAATGTCCCCCAATCCAAACTCCTGGACCCCCTCCATGAGAGAGAGGTTCCTGCTGGAAGAGAAGTGCTCACCCCAGGCCCAGTGCACCAAGACCACCAGCAGAACCCACAGTCCTTCCTGGCAGAGTTGGCAGCTCTGAGACACCACTGATCCGGAGGCTTGTGACCCCCTCCCCTTCCCTTCCCTCTTCTCCTCTCTCCTCCCCTCCCCTCCCTTCCCCTCCCCTCCCCTCCTTTCCCTTCTTCTCCCCTCCACACCCTCCATGCTACTCTCCCAGCTCTGGGCAGCCTGGCCCTTCCCTCCTGCCTCCTGGTCTTCTCTACTCTGCTGCTTCTGACCCATACCCTGGCTCAGCCCACTGCCCCCACCCTGCTCCTGCTGTGCACCCTCTGCCTCCTCATCCTCCCCTCCCTGGTCTAGGCTAGGTAGGCTCAGGCTCCCCGGGCCCTCCTTAGCAAAGCTGCCTCTCTTGGGTTCAGTGATTCCACCTCCCAACCCTATCACTGTCCCCCACCCCATATTAACTGTAATTTTGTAAGAGTGACTTGTTGGTTTAATAAATCTCTAGTTACTTTAATAATATTTTTAAAAACCCCAAAATGTTGGGATTACAGGTGGGAGCCACTGCACCTGGCCCATCTGTTTTTTCTTTTGGAGATGGGATCTCGCTCTGTCACCCAGGCTGCAGTGCAGTGATGTGATCATAGATAAGTGCAGCCTCCAGTTGCTGGGCTCAAGCAATCCTCCTGCATCAGCCTCCTGAGCATCTGGGACTACAGGCCACACCACCACACCTGGCTAATTAAAAGAAAATTTTTTTTGTAGAGACAGGATCTTGTTATGTTGCACAGGCTGGCCTCAAACTCCTGGCCTCAATCCTCCTGCCTCAGCCTCCCAGCTGGTTCTCTACTGTTGAAAATCAGAAGCCCTTTGATAATCTGATAAATAGTAAGTAATACATTTAGAAACTTAACATAATAAGGCCAGACATGTTTGCTCATGCCTGTAATCTCAGCACTTTGGGAGGTCAAGGCAAGCAGATCACTTGAGCCCAAGAGTTTGAGACTAGCCTGGGCAAGATGGTGAAACCCCGTCTCTACTAAAAATATAAAAATTAGCCAGGCATGGTGGCACATGCCTGTTGTTCCAGCTACTTGGGAGGCTAAGGCAGGAGGATCACCTGAGCCTTGAGAGGTCGAGGCTGCAGTGAGCTGTGGTTGTGCCACTGCACTCCAGCCTGGGCAACAGAGTGAGAAAGAAACCTAGCGAATAAGTAAATATGTGGTATGGTATGTCAGAAATTCATAAATGCCTTGGGGAAGAAGGAAAACTTTCTCCCCCTGAAAAACAAGTGACCTCTGGAATTATACTAAAGCTGGTTTTAGCCCTCCTGAGCCCTATATGGATACAGCTCAGAACCAGTGTCACTCCAGGGTATGATGCACTCTACATGGGAGTGGGGAAGAGGGACTGGAGTGAGTCTGTCTGGACCTCCAAGCCAGGTGTGGGGGATCTCTGCCCTGACTAGCTGCAAGGGCCATCTCCAGGCCCCCCACTTCTGATGTGTAGCCCCTCCCTTGCCACTGTATTTACCAATTGGGTAACTATACTGTATTAGTCCCCAGATGATCAAGATGCTGGAGGTGATCAGGATGCTGGAGGTGATATTAGGACACTGGAGGTAATATTAGGAGACTGGAGGTGATATTAAGCTACTGGAGGTGATATTGGGAGGCTGGACGTGATATTAGGAGGCTGGAGGTGATATTCGGAGGGTGGAAGTGATATTAGGAGGCTGGAGGTGGTATTAGGAGGCTGGAGGTGATATTAGGAGGCTGGAGGTGACATTCGGAGGCTGGAGGTGATATTAGGAGGCTGGAGGTGATATTCGGAGGCTGGAGGTGATATTAGGAGGCTGGAGGTGATATTCGGAGGCTGGAGGTGATATTCGGAGGCTGGAGGTGATATTCGGAGACTGGAGGTGATATTAGGAGGCTGGAGGTGATATTCGGAGACTGGAGGTGATATTAGGAGGCTGGAGGTGATATTCGGAGACTGGAGGTGGTATTAGGAGGCTGGAGACCACCTGAACCCAAGGGCCATCAGAGCTAGGACATTCCTCTCTATCCCATTTGCGTCACTGCCTGCATGTGTCCCACGTAGGTTGCCACTGTCTTCCCAGGCAGCTGGAAGAAGGATAGATATCGAGTGAAAGGACAGAAGGATAAAGAATTGATGGATAGAGGGAGGGAGGGGGAAGAAGAGGGAGGGAGGAATGAATGGAAAGAATAGACATTAGACTGGAGAAAGGAAGGATGAAAAGATGAAAGAAAGGAAGGAAGAAAAGGTGAATAAATAAAATAATAGTTGGATTCTATTAGTCTATTTGTGTACTGGACAGCCCTGACTGAGGCATTCTTCCTACACCGGATGGTCTTCCGTCCCAGGGGCCTCAGGGCCACAAGGAGAAACACACAAGGATAAATGCTGCAGCCTCAGAGGATGAGAGGTAGAGAGGAGATAGGAAGTTCCCAGTGCCTGGCTGGAATCCTCGGTGAGACCAGGGGTCCCCAACACACCCAGAGCTTCCCAACAAACACCGTCTTTCTCTTAAGCTGGCCCCAGGGGCTTCTGCTACTGCTACCAGAGACCCCTGCCTGGCCAAGCTGCGTATCGACAGAGAAGCCGTGAGGATTCCGAGAGAGCATGTGTCAAATGCTTCGCCCAGTGCCTGGTGCAGAGAAGGTGCTAGATGCAATGAGATAATCACCTGGACCCTGCAAGCATGCACGAGGGCCCTGGTGGAGAAGGAGACCCTTGAGTTAAGCCTTAATAGATGAGCAGGAAATAAGTCATGAGGAAGAGACAGGGAAACTCCAAGAACTCCCCTCCAGCCCCTAGGTCCCCAAGCCATCTCTTCGTACTGAGCATGCCCAGCTCCTGCTAGCCGCTCTCCCATAGCCAGTGGTCCTGGCCTTCTTTAAAAGGTAGTGCCTGGGGCAGAGTCTTGCAAGGGGACATTAGCCCACAGCATTGATGCCATGGAGACTGGAGCTGTGTGACGTTGGGCAACGTACTGAACTCCTCTGTGCTTGTGTTTCCTAGTCTACAGAAAAGGGGCTGGTAACAGGGCCTGCTGTGTTGACTTCTGTGACTGTTAAGTGGGCTCCTGCCTGGGAAGACTCCAGGCATGGTGCGCTCAGGGAATGTGAGCACTGATGAACACGGCGGGGCCCTGGTGCGGGACTGGCCTCAGCTTCTGCTCAGCTGAGCAAACCCTGGCAGGTACGCCTCAGCTCACAAGCCTGGTCCTGTCCATGAGCCCAGGCGGCTCTGCTTTATGGAGAAGGACATGGAGGCAGCTCAGTGGCCAAATGACACGTCTCACACCCCACTGCCAGCCCAGGGCAAACTCAGCCAGAGGCCCAGGGTCTCACTCAGGACACAGGCAGTGGCCAAGGAAGCAAATGAGGGTATGGTTGGAACCTAAGCTGCAGCCGGAAGCAGAGGAGACAGCAGGATTGAGGGGCCGATGAGGGGAGAGGAGGCAGGTTCTGGCAGGGAGAGGGAGAGGAAACAACCACGTCCGGGCAGCCAGTGGAAGCTCTGACCACAGACACCTGGCTGTCCCTTTGGGTCCCCCACAGTTCCCTCTTGCCTTGGCTTTCAGTCCGGGACTGCAGCAGAAAAGCCATTTGTTGAGTCACCCAGCTGCAAGGACAGCCTGGAGCTTCCTCTGGCTATCAGGAACCCCCACTCAGTTCCACTTCCTGGCCCTGCAGCCCTGGGGGCCTCAGTGGCTGCTCCTGCCTGGCCACCTGCTGACTGTCCATCCCTATGCAAGCCACTGCACCCCTGTAAGTCTCAGGCTCTGGAACTGTCCAGCAGGACTTGCTGTCACCAGAATGCAGGTCCCAGGAAGATAGGGACGCTGATGACCTGTTTTCTGTGTATCCAGGGCCTACAATGGAACAGGCACATGGTGCTCAGAAGGCGTTTGTCAAGTAAATGAATGAATGGGCCAAGCGCAGTGGCTTATGCCTGTAATCCCAGAACTTTGGGAGGCTGAGGCAGTCAGAAGTTTGAGACCAGCCTGGCCAATGGTGAAACCCTGTCTCTACTAAAATACAAAAAAAATAAAATAAAATAAATTAGGCAGGTGTGGTGGTGAGTACATGTAGTTCCAGCTACTTGGGAGGCTGAGGCAGGAGAACTGCTTGAACTTGGGAGGCGGAGGTTGTGGTGAGCCAACATCATGCCACTGCAGTCCAGCCTGGGCAACAGAGCAAGACTGTGTCTCAAAAAAAAAAAAAAAATGAATGAATGAATGCCCAGCCTTGGGCCATGGGCCAAGGGAGACCAGGGGAGCTAACAGGCAGCAAAAGCCAGTGCTGCAGATCCATGCCCACTCTCCTGGATGCCCCCATGCCTCAGATTCTCCTTAACTGAACCTGGACTCACCCGGCCTCTGACCCCTGCTTCTCTTTCATGTTCCCAGCTCCAGCGTCATCCCCACAGGACTCCCTCAGTACCACCACCGTCTTCCCCTGTTCATCACCTGCTCCCCCCGCCGCCCACACCACTCTCCACTCTGCTCACTCTCTCCATCTGAGCTCCAGCACCTTCCCCAGAGCAAGTCACCTTCTCTCCTACCTTCCAGGGTGGCCTCCCCCCCCCCCACCTACAGTCATCTTACTCAGTCCTGAACATGCCTCCTGCCCCTCCCAGCAAGGTGGGCCCTTCTTCTAGGGCTCCCCTTGTCCTCAGGACAAAGTCCAAATTCCTCACGTGGCCCGTGGAGACTGGGCTCTGGCTCTCCAGCCCCCTCCTCTCCGCGCTCTGTCCTGATAGCACACGACGAGCTCTTTGATCACCTCCCTGTGCTTCCTGCCTCTGTGCCTTTGCACATTCCCTTCCTTCAGCCTGGAATGCCTTCCTTATTTGCATGATAAACATTCATTTCCCATCTCCCCCAAGGGCACCCAGGGAACCCATTATGGCCACAGGAGGGCTGCCGACTCCACCCTACCTTCATTACTTCTTGGGAACACATCTATTACACTGCATTTCTCAAGTTGTACCTTAAGTATTTGAAGTCTTTCT